GATGAGTTCCCGCAAAAAATGTAAACAACATTTTTTCGATTGCGTAGTTTCGGTCGCATTAGAGCGGTCAGACTGCTTTATTACTTGTTCAGTTGACACTTGCTGTACAACCGGACTGTTTTTAGGGTAAAATTAGTTATTTGGGGTAACACGTGCATGCAACCTTGTAATAATTTCGTCGCTTGTAAATAGTTCGTCATTACTCAGCATAAATGGCTTTTCATTAAAAATTACCCGGCGACGCATCTTTAAAATGGCCGGCGACGCTTTGGGCTTAAAAATCCATATATTGCCGACGCTGCATCCACCCTCTGCATAGTGGCCTGCAGGCTGCAGCCCTTTGCATTCGCAAATTGCATTAATAATAATTTATGAGAAAAATGCTCATTTTATACTACAATTTTTAAAAACCACCCACAACACAAAACAATCATTTGAACCCAGGATTCAAGGAAAATTTTGCCCGATGATCCAAATTCCCAATCAGGCCTGATCACCCACATCCATAAACTTGGAAAGCTAGTGGTTGGAAACGGAATACTTACGTAATGCATCTCCTCTTTGAACCATATAATGTTCTCCTATCTCCAATTTAGTATTATTAGCGTCATCAGCATAATCTGGTCTCTTCTCTGCAGTTTGCTTTTTATCAGATCCATCTGAGACAGTTTGATTTTCAGTTTTGCTATTCATGTCGTTAGACACTGCCACTTTGCAGTTTTTGAGCTGATTTTCAGCCACCATTATCACGTTTTTCATAGCTACCACAGAAAAATATGAAACCGCAATGTAGCCTAACTTTATAGGGGGCCTACGTGTTTTTGACGAGGAATGAGACACAAAATAAAATTTTATAACGATTACATCACGGATCAACAAATGTGGCAATGCGTTTGTGAAACGGCAATGAGGCGCGCTGACGAACTCGTCTTTGTCCGGGTCTCCGGGACGTAAAAAAATAAATATAAAACACTGATGTGACCGACGAGCAATCAATGCTTAGGAAAAATCACCTTGTGCCTTGGCATTAGAAGCCATTCTTTTACAATCAATAGCTCTATATCTATGACATTAACAATGTTCAGTGGAGGAATGACGGTCTGCCTCTATAATCTGGATTTGCCTTCTACGTCGACGCTGACACTTGAAATTTCTGGGATAAAAATTGTGCATCGCCAACACGATGCGGGTCTCAATTTTCTAGGTAGCAGAAAACACGCTACAGTATGAAATAGCTTTGGCAATTTGTGGAAAAGATGTGAACAAAACTGAAGATACTTGTTCAACTCCATTAATGAGGCGAACATTGAGACATCAAGAGTTCAGTTGTGCAGTTTCCAGGTGTACGAACCTTGAGATAAACAATCTGATGATACGTCTGTGGTTTAAAGGCAAGCTCCTGTAGAACAGGAGGTAGATCAAGTCGCTCAAATTATATATATATTTTTTTTATGAAGTACCTCCAGTGTTTTCTAGTGGCGTTACTTAGCAATAACTTCAAGCAACGCGGCTTTTCATTCCGCAGAAATACAAGCACTAATCGAAAATAAGGATATTCATACTTAAAGTTAAAGTGCCGTCTACAAATATCAAGACGACAAGCTGTTGCATTCATCTCGCATGACCACATGACGACAAAGCTAACCCCTAACTCCCATAACCCACATTTAATTTTTGATTACAATTCGAAAACATTTGGTCGTCCCATTCCTATATTTCCCAGTTGCTTTATAGACGAACAAAGTTAGACTATGACGATGCTGAGACCATGTTGTTTGCCGAAAAAACTTGTTTGCTGATACCAGATTTTTCTCATATTTAGACCGTTGCCAACGAATAGTGATTTGTAATTCCCACTCGGAGCCATAATTGATTCAGCAGAATACTACGATGAAGGCATTTGCCGATCAAAATAACGCAAGCTAAAGATACCGATACCGAAAAGTTTCTACTCATAAACCTAATCCATGGCAAAGTTGTTAATGAAACATTTCTATGGTTGAATTATAGTTGTATCGTATTCACGATGGATGGAAAGCTGTTTGATCCAATCAAACTAGTCAAAAAAATATACAAGATGCGTGACTATGTGCTTCTATCGAAGACTAAAAATAAAACACTAGTGTAAACAAACTTAAGGAAACAAATTTAAAGCATATCCCATACAAATACGCCAAGATGAGAAAGAAAATTCCCCAAAACACGACTAAAAACGAATTTGTAGTTAATTTACCCAAGTATAATCTTACATCCTCATACGGAAGAAGCCGAATATGCTGAGTTACTTGTCTCTCTACACGCGATGATGCATGACATTCATCACTCATTGCTAAGAATATTATGCTTTTGCTTCGATAGTGTGGTGTAGTTACCAATCATAAAAAAATGTGAATATAAGACCTGACGAACCTCTTTCGTAATGGCGAATAAGAGCTCATAAAATTTTCTCCAGGTTCTTGAAACACACAACCATTCTTATTCAATTATTGACAGCATTCAGGTATAAAAAATTCGCGTTTTAAAGTAACTATCATACAAGGGATCGTTTAAAGGCTATTAGCTTAGCAATGAATTACATGAAGAGTTCCTGGCCGTCCAACTTATAAATAAAAATTTTATTTTATTAGATTTTATCACAGCTTGGGAATAATGTCCTTTGCTTGGTCAGGCACAGTTTGATTTTAAGTTAAATTTGTTACATGAAAGTTCAGCAACATTACAGGACAATACCCAAAACTTTGTTCACAAAGACCTCAAAACCCGTACTGTCTCCCCGCAGAAAAGTTCTTCGATCTCAAAAAGACAAAACGTACGAAATTAATTATTGAGAAAATTTGCTACCAAATCAGAATCGTCATGCAAAATATCCGGCCACATCATCCATGAAAAATAACGTAAATCAATAACACGAGTTTTAAGAAAAATTTCCATCGACCGGTACACACGTCATAAGATGCAATATTTGAATATTTATTCACAGCAACATAATTCTGCAATAGTGCGAGTTCTTAACCATCATGCTGTGTGTGTTCGATCTTAAAGCAAATCGTATAAGGATACATTGCAATATACCTACGTGAATTAAAAATTTAACCTAAGTAGCCAAGGCTGCTGGCGTTGGGGAATAGAACGTGACAGAGGACCAATATTACCCACCAGACAATAACAAAAAGGTCTCGAAAAAGTAATGCCAGAAACTACGCCTCAAGGTGAGGTTACATTCTAGTTCCTAGCTGCTCTATGAGTATATGTCCTCATGATAAGTTTCGCTGGAATTGGTCGATCGCAAGAAGCACCTTAGCGCGCCGGATGTACCTCGTCGCTTGGGAATGAATGAACATGAATATATTTTTCCCTTAGAACAGGGGTCTCCAAGCTACGGCCCGCGGCTAGGTTCCATCCGGCCCGCAGAGGATATCTCATAGTTCAACAAAATGTTTACAAAAATCGAGCGTGGCGTTTATTTCTGTTTACGCATGAACTGAAAACAGTGAATGGGCGTGACCGGCCCGCAAAGGTGTCAGAAAACTTGCTCTTGGCCTTTGGTGAAAATTTTTTGGAGGCCCCTGCCTTATAATAATATTATTTCACATACATGAAAACTAGGAAAGCAGTCGTCTAGCTAGGTTATATTTACATGGGAATGTAGTCTTAGAGAAGCATATAGTCTTCCCTGTCGGTTATACGAGACAAAGCACTGAGACCGTTAAGAGGATTTATGGCTCTGTTCACGACTGACCAACATGTCACACGTTAATGAAGAAACCAATAATCGTGCTAATATTCAAAGCTATCATACCTCCTAGATGAAGAAACTAACTCTTTTTATAATTAATCACTAATCATACCTTCTGGGTAAATAAACTAAGGCGTTTACTATTCAATCAAAAATTCTAACTTCTAGTGTAAAGAACTGTTTTCCTTCAGTTTGAGGTTGAATTTCTATTTGATAAGATACTGATAAACAGAGACTCTCACTTAAAAAGGCCGTACATAAAAAAAGGCATAATACTGTCCATAAAAATTGAGTTGATTTAAGCTATGTTCTACGGTATTAGTTCAGTCGTTAAAGAAAAATGTTGAGGTGAAGGCAGTAGGCAGAATTATGAAGAATGTGTAACTTTGGTACTGAACTCAAACAGTAACGATAATCGGGCCCCTACACTAATTTAGGACCACAAACAGTAATCCACAAGTCTCACGCAACACATATTCAATGAAAGCCAAGGACTTTAACGCAATGCTTCAAATAAATGTAGGGATTTACACATTATACGCAGCGGAGCCGCTTATTTACAGGTCGACTATCAGTCATCATGCGGTTATCACAGCATTTTCAGGAGTATTAATAAGAAGTGAAATAATAGCTTATCCATGTTAACTTAGTTGCAATGCCTAGTAAATTTCGTTCAGTAGTTAGAAATGACAGGCCATGTAGAACAGTAATTGATTTACCGCAACGCGAACTAGGGAGTAATTTTGAAATTTTTTAATGAATTAAAGTGCAAAAAAATTGAAACATCGGGTCACACCAACGAAGAATTCACCACATAAAAAAATCAAGGAATTATTCCTTAAGTTCAACAGATGATAAAAATGAGACGATTAAAAATCTGCAAGTTCCAGAGACATCATCCAACACAATTGAGAACAACACGATTTTAAAAGCTGCACGACTACATAACCAACCGCAGCCAACACAGGCTGCTAAAAATCACCCGCAGTACGTATAAGTATTGACCAAAACAAATGTAATAAATGTGTTTCAATGTAAGAAACGTTGCATGTTCACTAGATTATACCGAACTTTTTGCGCCACGTTTTTGCAGCCTTTGGTAGCGAAGAGAGGATTATCCGACGGGAAGTACACCATATCATCAGCCACAGTCCTGCGAAATTCAAAGCCAACCAGAACAAATTCTTCATAATGTATACCCAAATATAACAAATTAATTTAGAAACCTAAGGATGATTATGCCAAGATGTGTACTACTACGATAGAGAAACATCGAAAAGTTACTTATTGCTTAGCCACGACCTAATACGGAGAGGCATCTCAACGAGTCAATAATAAAGCTCAGTCAAATAAAAAAAAAATATTTTAGAAACCTAAGGAGGCTTATGCCAAGATGTGTACTACGATAGGAAAAAAATATCGAAAAATTACTTATGAATTTGCCATAACCTAATACGGAGAGGTATCTAAACGAGTCAATAATAAAATTCTCTCGCCATAAATAAGACTGACTTGATTATTGCAGGGTCAGGTTTGAGTCGCCGTGACGTCATCTCATCGCGCGCACAAAGCTCGACGTGCCGACGCTCCAGGGGCAAGAACGGCACGTAGAAGTCCACCAGCGAGTGCTGGATGAGCTCACTCATGTGCAGGCCGCCTGCGTGATAACAAGTGAATGTAAAAATGTAAAGAGAAAACATAGACACAGTAAAATGGCGAGAGGAGAGTCGAAATTAAAGAAGAAGCAGTGAGAAAGGAAAGATTATTTCCACACTCTACTGAGATGATAGCAAAGTGCAGAAGATTAAAATGCGAGCTCAGCGGTGGGGCGCTCAGGAACAATCCCCCTAGGAGCGCGAAATCCCATAGGACTTCTGACGAGCACAGACACGCGTCAGAAGTCCCCCCTGAGGGGGAATAAAATGTCGAACATTTAGATTCTAATAGAATTAGGACTTGACGATCGAGAAATGGTATGAGGTAAGAGTAAACAAGGACGAGCAGCTGCCGTTTTAAAAGGACTGAGTTGGGTTAAGACCAGGTAAATACATATTTCACAGAGAATGGTGAGGGGTGAGTAGAGTTTTTGAACGGAAAAATGAAGAAACAGCTGCACCAACAGCAAGTTATTTAGACTGAGTAAATCATCGTGAGATAAGAAGGCACCACGGGGCTCTATTAAACAACCATCTTATGACTAACTTCTTGTGAAAATAGCTGAAACATGTAGCTAATTTCAACTGAGTATTCTCGGGTGTACGATGCTGAACATGCCTGAGAGCAAACACAGGTACCGGTACTACACCAACACACCACCACGTCAAAATTATGCCAAAACTCTCACGGGAATAATATCAGTTAAGCAATAATTTCCCCAATTTACACTACACGCGGGCACTTTAGGAGCAACTCCAACCTTTCTCATTGAATGCGCCTCTTTCAACAAGACGCTCGACGTCCTTGAGGGAAATGGCGGCTCTAGACTTGCCGGTTGCCCACCAGTCCAAAGCGAACTGCAGGATCTCCTTGGTGCCGGTGTTGCTGAGGAACAAAAACGTCGCTTTCCTGCACACAACTAACATCAATCAAGCACTTATATCATTAGTTTGCTCGAATTGCAGGTTTACTAAGAATTAGGATGAGAATATGTAAAAAATCATGTAAGTAAATGATGAATTTTATCAGCTTCTCTTTGCTTTCAAATTCTCGGAAAACTATAATCAAACGTCTATTGCTGTAATAAATTTCTTTGCTATGATGTGTTAATTGCAACAGAACGACAAAATGACGATAAGAGTTTGAATAGCTTAATTTTTATAATTGTAATTCGATATAAAGTATACAATTGATTACATGGAATGTAATATGTCCCAAGGGGAACAGTGCTGTTTATTATGTTTATATACAAGATCTACTATGAAAGTCGTCAGTTTGCTAACCACCTAGTGATTAAATAGAAAGTACCTTAATTCCTACGGTTACTTGATTCCTACGGTATACATCCCGCAATCTAAGGTACCTATATTATTTGTTGAGCCATAATGATTAGTATGACAAAAACTATAGTTGAGTTATGAATGAAAACAATTTCCACAGAAGTTAACAAGCTTATCACGTTGTTCCCAATGGGGAATAATTATGTAAAAGTATAACAATAATTGGCATGTTATAATGTATAAGTAAACCTGTAGTCGACGCCGTGTATCTCCGTGTGGTAGTCGATGAATGGCTTAATAGCGTCCAGCAGTCCGGGCTCCATCTTGTGCACCTCGTCGAAGATAAACAGCGACCGCTCACAGGCGGCAACGCTCTTACGTATTGCGTCAACAAGCTCCAGCTGCACAAACATATATTACATTAATATGTTGTCAACAAGCTCCAGCTGCACAAACATACATCACACTTGTAAGTTGTCAACAAGCTCCAGCTGCACAAACATATATCACACTTGTATGTTGTCAACAAGCTCCAGCTGCACAAACATACATCACACTTGTATGTTGTCAACAAGCTCCAGCTGCACAAACATATATTGCATTAATATGTTGTCAACAAGCTCCAGCTGCACAAACATATATTACATTTATATGTTGTCAACAAGCTCCAGCTGCACAAACATACATCACACTTATATGTTGTCAACAAGCTCCAGCTGCACAAACATACATCACACTTATATGTTGTCAACAAGCTCCAGCTGCACAAACATACATCACACTTGTATGTTGTCAACAAGCTCACAAAAAACATACACAAATGACACCCACTTTATAGACGTCGGTTTTGCCCTCATGTGGGAAGCTGACAGAAGCGATGAACTTGTGAATATAGGCGCTTTTTTGGCCTTTTTTAAAGACGGCTTCGGCCACCAAGTCTGATACGAAGTTCTTGCCCGTGCCAGTGTCGCCATGCAAGCTGATCACAAGAGCCTGTAAACAGAAGAAAAATATTCACTTCCAAGAAAATTTTAAAAATTTATGTGATAGTAAAATGACAATACAGCCATGTGTAAATCTACAAATGTGTGTGGAGATGTCAAGAAGCATCAGGTCCCCATAGGTAACTGGTAAACATTACCATTCTGTTGTTAAATTGATTATAAAAAGAGGAGCTCTTCTACTAACTAAAAGAAGAATGTTAGTCCTTCTATTTCAAATTTGTGACTCAAGTCATCAGGTTTAAATCCTATACTCAGTCATCCAAACTTAAAAAGTTTCTATCGGTTAAACGTGGCATTAACTTTAATCTTCTTAGGCTGAGGATCGGCGCGATAATATACGTGCATTGGCCACACGTGGCATTAACTTTAACCTTTTTAGGCTGAGGATCGGCGTAATAATATACGTGTATTGGCCACACGTGGCATTAACTTTAACCTTTTTAGGCTGAGGATCGGCGTGATGGCTCAGAATGGCCCGGACAACAACTTCGTTCACGAGGTGCTGGCCGTGGAGGCGGGAAGAGAAAGATTCTTCTAATTCTGGAATAAATAATCACTTTGGAATTCAAACATTTCATCTACTCTTACACAAATTATGATAGGTACATAAAAATTCAGTAATTTCTTCAATCTACTTACTCAACTCAATTCATGATTTAAAAAGTATAATAAATACAGTCTTGAAGTGACTAAAATATTGGGTTTAGTCCAGTCGTTGCCAAGGTTTCAGTCATCAATCCACATACTGAACTCAATTTCTCACAATAAAGTTAAATAAATTAACAAGGTTTTAAGCAACTCACTGTCAATATTAGGCTTGGTCCAGTCGTTGCCAGGAGCACAACACTCCTGCACCTTACACATGACAAGTTTAATGGTTGCGGCAGGCGTCCGGTGACACTCACAATAAAGTTAAATAAATTAGCAAGGTTTTAAGCAACTCACTGTCAATATTCGGCTTGGTCCAGTCGTTGCCAGGAGCACAACACTCCTGCACCTGGCACATGAGGGGCGAGAAGGCTTGGAAGAGCGCGGCGCTCACGATGCTCGCGCCCACAGCGAACGCTGAGAAGAGTTCACCGTACGCGCCCTGACATGCGCTCAGCAGCAGCAGCAGCGTTAACGCCGCTGCCCGCCTGTTTAATAACATCCTAAAACGTGTAGTGAGAAGCTCTCTGTAATATCTGAAATTTGTTGTAGCAAAGTAAGGTGATTAACATTAATATTGAGCAGCCTTGTTATATAAATAATTATTTAGCAAAGGCATAAAGTGATAAACGGATATTGAGTTGCTACAACGTGTCGTGAGAAGCTTTCTGTGATAGCTGAAATTTGTTGGAGAAAAGTAAGGTGATTAACATTAGTATTGAGCTGCCTGGCTATGTAAATAATTATTTAGTAAAGACATAAAGTGATAAAGGGATATTGAGTTGCCTTTTCAAATAAATAATTTTTTAGCAAAGATATAAAGAGACCAAAGCGGATATTGAGTTGCTAGCTATATCAATAATTTTTTAATTAAGATATGAAGTGATCAAAACGGATATTGAGTTGCCTAGCTATATAAATAATTTTTTAATTAAGATATGAAGTGATCAAAACGGATATTGAGTTGCCTAACTACATGTTATGATGGAATGAAGTATGAGTAATAATGACTCAGCATAAAAACAGAATGAACGTCAAGAGGAGAATAACAAGACAATAAACGCTAGGAAGCGTTGCCTTATACAATGGACAAGGTGAGGACAATAATGGTAATTTAGCATTTCCATAATAACTCGTTGATCTGAGCAGCTCCCGAGTTGGAGAAGGGAATAGCTCGAGTTCCAACCACATACCATATTGACATCGCACCTGACACAGTTAGTGAGATTACGCAAGATCTATGGCGGGCCTTATGGTACCAAGGGCGATGAGACCACAAAACTTTTTAGGACAACCAAAGAGTAAATACAAAAAAGAACTTATCCTCTTATTATAAAATTATCGAGCTTAAAAAATGAAATTGTGAAAGAAATCCGCGTGACGTTAACAAAATTTCAACGTAAGCAAACAAAAAATTGTCTCAAGACACAGGACATAATAATTTGCATATATTACTCTCGAATTTCTGGTAGCACATATCAGGTCCAATATTGATTAGGATTACAACAGCTCGGGGCATCCCGGGGTGTGCCATGACCCCAAATCCACCAGATGAGGAAGTGTCTTCGCTCATCTATGGACCCCCTGGGGATGAATGGTAAGCATATTGTAATATTTGAAACCTTTTCCACTAGGCCAAATACAATAATAAAATAAATTACATGACATCAAATAAATAAGTCAGTTGGTCTTACTGCTTAAGGTTTGTAACAAAGAAGTGAGATAAATTTTAGAATTCCTTTATTATATTGTTTTCGAATAGGTCAAATAAAATAATAAAATAAATTACACGACATCAAATAAATAAGTCAGTTGGACTTACTGCTCAAGGTTCGTAACATAGAAGTGACATAAATTTTATAATTTCTTTATTATACTGAAGATCGGAAGTGGGAGAGCAGTAAAATTCAATCATTTAATTAATTGGTTTTCAAAAGAATTCAGTTCATACATGTATACTGTCACACAAATGGTCTCGTTAATTAAGAAGCGAGGGACGCTAAACACGAATTAAAAGATGCAAAACATCACTGGAATCTTTTTATTACGATCATGACCAAAATATGATTCGAGTGACAAAATAATCAAAGGCTGACAATCAATTGTAATGCGCCAGATAAATTAAATTCATGGGATATGCAAATTTGTAGTAGGACGGCGAAACAAACAAGTCTCACCTAATTCAACAAGCCACCTGACTTCAAACCAACAATTCATCACAAACACAATAACACTTAATGGTAGAACCCAAACAAATCGCTAAGTTTCTATCATTCTTGAGATAATAATAACATAATACCGATTTATTTAACAGAGATTTGCCAAGAACGCAACTTTATTAAGTTGCGTTCGCCGCGCTAAACAATGCCTTTTACGTGGGAAAAAATTGATTGCATTCAATAAGTCGCAGGTAACAGAGATATTGCCAGAGACAAAATAATTCTACATCAAAATAATTCAACACTAAACACTAGAATCACTGTGGCGTAGAAACTCATCATTTCATCCCTCACTGCAACATTGATGAGCTGGTAGTGATGACTGAATTATAAGTAACATATAAAGAAATATATGCTTGGAATTTCACAGCCAGTACAGCAGCAAGCAATGTGACCCGTCATAGGTAAAGAAAGAATAATAAGTAACTTACTATACTAGTTTCTAATTAACTTTTAAACAAATTGCTGACCTTAGGTATTTGAACCATAGATGCGTTGTAACTCAATTGATCTGCCAATTTACATTGCGTTCAATTAAATATAAAAATATGAGACACTTCGAATCCTGGCAATCTGAACCTAAGCTTCAAAATGTCCGCTCTAACTTCGATAGAAAAATATTGTACATCAAAACACTGAAAGTTTGAGATCAAGTCCATGAAGTTGAGCAACGTGAAATTTACGATAAATAAGGAGAATTTCCTTAGAAAAATAGAAAAATTAACGAGTATTGAAGGACTTAAAAGATTTTCTTAGCAGAGTACAAATAAAGTTCTCAGTGCAGTAGGCTAACAGCACTAGAATATGTGTTGAAACTCGACTGCAGCATTCAGACGTGTCAAGAACAATCATCAACAAGGCAGACGTGTCAGCAACATTTCAATGGAAAATTTGAATTTGTGACCTTTGAACTTCCAAGTGAGTAAGATAAAAACGAACTCTATATGCCACTTTCTTGCAGCCCTTGTATGCGAAGAGCAGATTCTCGGAAGGGAAGTACCTACACCAATGCGTCAGCCACCAACCTGCAGAGTGAACCATGGATTAAAATGCCTTCTGGAAAAATTTGCAATGAAATGAAATTTATTTTGTGTTAAAATTTGCAAAAGAAGCGAAATGGATATTGAATATCTATTCAAAAGTCAATTATTTAAAAGTATTAATAGGTACCACTATTATGTCATCCCTTAAACCTGATATGAATTTCGACCAAAAAATGAAACCAGACACAGAACAAGGGACAATCTGATGAATGTGCCTGTGACAACAGGCTTAATACAGTTGGATTCCGACTTACGAACTCAATTTGTGGAGTTTTCAAGAGTTCCAGCAAAGTAGTTCGTTCGCACAGCAAACATATTTTTCCTATTGAAATCAATGGAAATAACTCCGATCCCTATGGAGCTCCCCCCAAAAAACATCTCTGTTACGTATCTAATACTCACAGTGGGATAAGAAACAATTATTTTTATTTTGAGGTGCCTGACAAGGCATATTTATGGCCCATGATAGCGGAGATCATACTTTTATTTCGGCCGTACGCTCGGCCAAACTGACAATCCGCAATGCGGTTGCATCCAATTTATCATTAATAGTTATAAGTTTATTTTTATGCTGATCCACTGCATTTTCCATTGCAAAGAGTCGTACAATGTAGCTCAGTCGCATAGCAGAACATATTTTTTCCAATCTGACAGTTAGTAAAGCTGTTTGGTTATGAGGCAGGAGGTTCGTTAGGCGGGGTTCCACTGTAGTACCTAAGGGACTAACTTGATCCTGTAGGGTCGGGTTTTAGCTTCTTAGATGACATCTCATAATAATAAATATTATAATATAATCGCTAAGCCTGGTAATAACTAGAGGACTAATTTGATCCTGCAGGGTCGGGTTTTAGCAGCCTAGACGTCATCTCATAATAATAAACATAATCATATACCCGCAAAGCCTGGTAATAACTAGAGGACAAATTTGATCATGATCCTAGATGACATCTCATAATAAATATAACTGCTAAGCCTGGTAATAACTAGAGGAAAAATTTGATCATGATCCTAGATGACATCTCATAATAAATATAACTGCTAAGCCTGGTAATAACTAGAGGTACTGACTTGATTATCTCAGAGTCAGGTTTGAGCTCGACGTGCCGCCGCTCCAGGGGCAAGAACGGCACGTAGAAGTCCACCAGCGAGTGCTGGATGAGCTCACTCATGTGCAGGCCACCTGCGTGATAACAAGTAAATGTAGGACAACAAGTGCTGGATGAGCTCACTCATGTGCAGGCCACCTGAGTGATAACAAGTAAATGTAGGACAACGAGTGCTGGATGAGCTCACTATACCGTAAATAGTAGGTAGTATATAGTAGAATGAGCTCACGTCAAGAAGTATAGTAACATGTACGAAGAACTCGCATTAGCTATAAAACTTTCAGCATTAATTTATGTATTTTTTACTTGAACAAAATATTTAATAAACGAATTTCGAGCTTGTGGTACCCGGGGATCGCTACGTCCCCAAGCCTCCTCACCGACGGGAGGGAGGCTCACTTGGGAAAATCGAGTCATCTTATTAATATATTTATATTAACCCTCCACTACATACACGAACCATTCACCCAATACCAACTAACAAAATACCAACTAACAAAATGCCACCTCATTTAAAGATTTATTTAACCATTAAGATTGCTTCATCATTTGCCTGATATATGAATCGAACAAAGATACCAACTAATTCGGCATTCAGACCGGAAAGGCTCTAGAATTAATTGAAAGTAAAATGAAGTTTTCAAGTGGATTTTTGACGGGTTTGAGGGGGAAGGTTGCAAAAAGTACTGAAAATGAGGAGTAGGCAAGCAGCAACAGAGTGGTTAACTTCTAAGAATTTTAAAGCTGCGTGTCGTTAAATAATGCAATGAAGCCAATGATACAATATAAATGCAGTGAGGAAGGAGATTTTTGTTGAGAAAATATACGCAAGGAAAATACTATTTTTATCTTGAATATTGGACAAGATAAACTAAGTCTTCTGATAAAAATTCAAACGAATTAATTGGCTTATCATATTAATCCGCCAATTATTTGGGCTCAATTCTTCAACAAGGAGGCTTTTACTTCACTTAAATTGACAAGATATTTATCATAAATATAATAAACAAACAAAATACATACAATACATGCAACAAGATGTATATAATTTTAGTGGCCAAAACTACCTATATAAAGCTTACTGAAGCGCTATTCTCCTTTCATGAAAAATTTCAAATCCTTATACCGTACGCAAACAAATGTGTCGGCATTACTTCCGTGCTCCATGCTAATTATAAAGACTCATGCAAGATGATGACAACGCAGAGCTATTATTCATCACAGAAGTAGCTTAATCAAGTTGAAAATAAACATTCCAATTTAGAAGAATGAGTTATTCAAGAAGTCTTGTTTAAAACAGCAACAAACCGACAACAAAATTATAGCTAATTTTTAACTAAAATGTACCGGATGCATTCCAATTTAGAAGAATTTGCAATTTAAGAAGTTTTGTTCCAAGCAGCAACAAACAAACAACAAAATTATAGCTAATTTTTAACACACATGTATCTCATGCCATTAAATATTGCATTGTTCAAAATTTTTTTATACAGACCCGAGGCTTTGAAGCATGCATGCTGTTTTACTTGCTTGAATTATACGCAGCCGGCCACGGTACGCAAGCACCAGTCCAGCACCACGGCGTACACACGGCAGCTCCTGCACGACACAAAATCATGCTATATACGCTCAGAGATATCAGCGTGACAGGTCCTAATAACAGTGCACTTTTTACTCTTTACAATATGACCTATCTATTGGCCTGATCGTAGCTTTTATGTTCCTCAAATGATCCGTGAAATTTTCTAATTAGGCAATCGATCGTAGCTTTTATGTCCCTCAAATGATACATTAAACTTTCTAATTAGGCAATCGATCGTAGCTTTTATGTCCCTCAAATGATACATTAAACTTTCTAATTTAGGCAATCGATCGTAGCTTTTATGTCCCTCAAATGATACATTAAACTTTCTAATTTAGGCAATCGATCGTAGCTTTTATGTCCCTCAAATGATACATTAAACTTTCTAATTTAGGCAATCGATCGTAGCTTTTATGTCTCAAATGATACGGGAAACTTTCTAATATATATTTTATTGATTACATACTAGCCTATCTGCTAGTAATACATATATGCAAGAAAAAACTGATATTTTGTTAGCATAAATTGAAATAAATAAATATCTGTGGCAAATATTTGTAAAATAACTTAGCAAAGAATAACGATACCTATCAATGATTACGAATACGTGGTTGACTGAACAAGAATAATAATCTAATATGTGGACATAAATAATAATCTGCAATAACTCACCTGGAGAGAGGCTTGCAGATGTCCAGGTGGCTGGCATCCACGGCTATCGTCTCGCCAACGCCTGCGTCTGCAAGTAAAAAAAAATTAACGTAAGAATTATTTCCATTTCCTCGCGCCAAGCTAATACATTTAAACAATAACTTCACAATACAGTTTTTAAATCAAATAACTAATCATATATTATTTAAGAGGACTTTGCATCAATCAAATAGCCTATGGTGACGTAAAATTGAGCGTCTCAATATTTAAATATAAATTTTCAATTAAAATCAATAGAAAATATAGATACATAACCAAATTAAAACATAGAACATTTTCACTGAAGCCACAAGAATTTTTCTTCAATCGTCATAATATAAGACTGGATATGAGCCTCACCAGCCGAGTCTCGAGGGAATTAAAATCGATAGAAAATAATTACAATCAAATTTAAAACATGGAATATTTTTATTTCAGCCACAATAATTTTTTTTTCAATCGTCACAATATTAGACTAGATATGAGCCTCACCAGCCGAGTTTCGAGGGAATTAAAAGCGACAGAAAATAATTACAATCAAATTAAAACATAGAATAATTTCACTGAAGCCACAATAATTTTTTTTTCAATCGTCATAACATAAGACTGGATATGAGCCTCACCAGCCGAGTCTCGCGGGAATTAAAAGCGACAGAAAATAATTATAATCAAATTAAAACATAGAATAATTTCACTGTAGCCACAATAATTTTTTTTTTCAATCGTCATAATAAAAGACTAGATAAGAGCCTCACCAGCCGAGTCTCGAGGGAATTAAAATCGATAGAAAATAATAATAATCAAATGAAATCATAGAATATTTTCACTATAGCCACAATAATTTTTCTTCAATCATCATAACATAAGACTGGATAAGAGCCTCACCAGCCGAGTCTCGAGGGACGGGCACGAAAGACAGGCCAGGCAATAGCGGCATAGGTCTCGTGTCGACGAGACTGAGGACAGAGAAGCGCCTCGTCTGCCAGCACCTTATGAAGCTGTCATGCAGGTGCTGCAGGTCGCTGTGCTGCAGGTCGCTGTGCTGCAGGTCGCTGTGCTGCAGGTCGTTGTGCTGCAGGTCGCTGTGCTGCAGGTCGCTGTGCTGCAGGTCGCTGTGCTGCAGGTCGCTGTGCTGCAGGTCGCTGTGCTGCAGGTCGCTGTGCTGCAGGTCGCGCAGTTCAGGGGCATCAGGGTGCAGCCACGAGGCATAACGCGCCCATGGAGCTCCTCCGTGTGGGGTTGATAAGAACAAAACACCGAGCGTCTTCGCAGATAAGATATTTCCTTGACACTCTGGAACTTCTTTGGCTAGAAATTCTTGTGGCTTATTTTTCCTGGTGGTGTTTAATACAAATGTTGAGTCATCAAATTCAAATAGAATATCTTTCGTGCGCTCAACTTTTGCTTTTTCACCTACTTCAAGAATTGACTCTTCAGTTTCATCTTTCACGTGTCTCAGAAGTTTTTCCGACGATTTTTTGAGTTCAACATCTAGTTTTTTTCCTATTTTAGAACTAGATTCATTCGAATTCAGTGCTGAATTTTGCTCTTTTCCTCCAGTTTCTTCAATCATATCAGTTCTCCTGCTATTATCGAGACGCCCACTTAAGTTCTCAGTCGCCCCACATCCGTCGTTCTCGAAAATAGCTTTGAGTAAGAGCCCACCTCTGGAGTGGGCGAGCCATAAGACAGGACGGCGCCCCACTCCAGCCCTCACCAGAGCCCCACTGAGCCTTAGGGCTTGAGAGCTCAGCGTCCTGGGGCTGGATTCGTGCCAGGGTTCATGCAGGTTCACGGCTACGATCCTGACGCAGGTGTTGGTTTGGCGTAGCATGTCTACCGCGAGCCAGTCCTGGGGCCAGCACCAGCTGTAGTCTGAGGTACCTGTTAGAGGCTGGTATATTACATGGAGCAATAATTGAGCCTAAGTGCAGTATTGATAAATGCTAATTGAATTGTATGTACTGGTACATATTACCAAGTTGGGGCAAAAATCTTCATATACCGGTACATCTTAGGAGTCATTATCGCTGGGTGTAATGCGTTCACTGGTATGTTTACCAGATAACAAAAAATTACAAATCTTAGTTTGTAAGATTTCTATTAAGTGACGCCATAAATACTAATAAAATAAAATTAGGTGGTAATTTCATACGTACCGTATCAGACATAGAGCATTTGCAAAATAATTCAAATCACAATTTCGAATAGGAATCATTAAAGATTGGTAACAACCACTCATCATACCGGGAACTTGATCCTTGAGTTCCTTGCAAACCTTAGTAATTAGCGCCAAATTTAGTCAGCTACTGACCCATTGTAAAATTGCATTGCAAAATTTAGCTAGCTTCTAACCTGTGTAAGTTAATCCATTTATTCCATTATATCCTTAGAAAAAAACATAAAATTTAGCAATTAACTGACCTGCGCGAGCTTCGTCTCGCTGTCGCCATGTCCACGCCGCCCCTCCCAGGATGCCGTGCAGCAGCACCATGTGAACCAGGCGTGGTGCGCCTTCTGTTGGCCTCTCAGACAAACGCTTCACTTCTGGTTCTTCTAGCGGTGACCGGGGAACCAAAGTTTTTGCACCATTTGCAGGCATGGTATTTTCTAAACAATGTCCATGATTTGAAGACTCCGTTAAAGATTCAACAGAAGGATGAGGAATATCAGAATCAAATTTAATTTTTTTCAAGAGGTCTAATTCGGCCTCGGACAACACGGGGTAAATGCCCTCATCGTAAAGAGGGAAAGTTGAAAGGTTCGGAGAATAAATTGCACGTACTGTAACTCGTTCACATTTTCTGCATGGGCAAAGATTGCTTTCAGATAGAGAAGAGCTTTTGGCGTTCCAATCACCTGAAGTTAGGAAAGAGTTGAGGTAGTTTAAATGAAATCTGCTAACAGGATTCTCATTGCATTCGAACTCGAAGTTATACCATTTAAAAATATTGGGTTTAGAACAAAATTGTATGAATGGATCCATTTGAGATGTGGCATCAAGATTGTTGTCATTGTAGAAATAAGCATTACAGAGATCTAGCGAGCCTAAATTCAAGAACTTCTGTATTGTGGGCAAAAGTTGTGCATTGAGTGAATTGTTCCAAGTATTGAGCAACGCTCGAGATGCTGCTAACTGCACGGCAAAGCTGGGCTGCTCCAACGCCTCTTGCAGCAACTCTGCAGCCCCGGACTGTATGACGGCTGAGCTTCCTGTTGTTGAGCACGCAAGGTTCGCCAATGCTTTGGCCGCCACTTCACTAAGGACGTCATCCTGAAGACGTAAAACCTTGCCTAGCATTACCGGCGCATGGGAAACGCAGAGCTCTTTGTGTGTCTCCTGCCTTGAACATGCTGAGAAGAATGCAATTGGTTCCAGCAGCAGCTTGAGAAGCTGAAGCTTCGGTAAAATGGGTACTGGGCATGAGAGTCGGGATGAAGATAGCGGAGGCTGGTAAGAAAAAACTGAGTTAGGAGAGTGAGATAAAGGATACGAGTCTTGGGTAAGAGTTGCGCCAGAGACAATAGGCAGAAGAGGCAGTGAATCGCCAACTAAAAAACGAGATAGAGTTGAAAAATGTTGCAATGCGCTAATTCTTGAATGGATGGAAGCTGTGTATTCATGATCTTTCATTTTTACATTAGTGAATTTTGTGATGAACGGTTCAGACTTAAGCACAGAGCAATGCCATGGATTAGGTATTGCTAACGGACTGGGAGGGCCATCTGCCGGTCCACACAAAATTAAACTGCTTAACCTACAAGGCACACAAATTTTAGAATAATCAGACTGGGAAACTGAAATAATTTTAGACAAGAGCTCACATGTCATTTTTCCGCTGCTTGGGGTAAAATTGATTGCAAAAATATTCTGGAGGCCTCCTATGTGGCTGGAATTTTTTAGTATTTTAGCAGTTAATAGCAATGCATTTCTGTCACCACAATCACCAATTATATTACACCAGTTTTGGTCACCTATAGAATTTCTGGTCTTGAAGGCAGAAGGAATTTTGCTTAATTCATCACCATTGTAAAAGGATGGATGGAAAGAATATTCAGATGTTGAATTGAAAGAACAAGGCTTGGGTAAGGAGCCTTTGAAGCCATCAGAATGTTCTGGTAATCCTTCAGTTACAGAAGGGGATTTTTCTTCAGCACTATCTTCTTGGGAATAATTGACTGAGAACGCCAAATGCGGAGAATTGTTGTCCTTGGTAAAATTCTGCATTGTTCTGTAGCTCACATCAGGTTTAGCAATAAATTCATTCCATGGATGGAAACGTGTTGGCAGTGAAGGCCAGAAATCAACAGTGTCTGGAAAATTGCAGTAAGGCTCGATCCAATCTTCGTCCAATGTGTCCCACAGCGAGCGACGTCTGTGCGCTGCAAACTGAAGGCCATGTTTATGCATCTGCTGCTCAGCCTCAGCCAACACCTTCTGCACAACAATGCAATAATTGATTATTTTTGGGATTAAGTTGGGATTACGTTCCAAACCTTAAGTTAAAAGGATATATTTATTAATAAGCAACTAAAAATGAAACAAAATTGCATAGGAAATTGGCAAAAAATAAATATTTTCAAATGTAGAAGTGTCCAATTTTGATACAACAAATTTTTATGATCTAGGTTTTTTTCAAATAAGCTTGAAAAATAACTACTTGAGTTGAGCACATTAGGTATTTAGGATGAAAAGCAGCAAATGTTCAAAGTTCCTTGTGAGTCTAGTGATGATCACCTCAAGGGGCATGATGGCCAGCCACCCTCTATTGAAAAACATTTTAGTTTCTTAGGCAATTGTTTTCCCAATACATACTTCCCCTTGAAGTATCATAATAAGAGCAAACGGTAGAACAATTTGGTCAAATGTTCAATCCAAGATTTGCAAAGATGATCTAAATTTTGGTGAATATGGGTTTCAACAGTGAATAACAAAAATGGACACTATCAGAGGTTGGAGAGTTGTTAAGAAAACATGGAAAGAACTCAGATTGAAAAAGCTTTTTGCAATTATAAAAATTATTATTTTAATTTATTTCCTTTATATGTACGTACATATTCCAACTCACAATGTGGGTGTATATACATGCTACAACAAACTTCTACTAATGAATCAATTCAAGACTTTAGAATCATTAGCAAATATTACAAAGAGGAGTAGATATTTTTTCAAGTTGAAACATACCAATTGTGTGTTACTTTAATTACCTTTAAAGTAATTGACACAAAGTTAATTGTTTAATTTAAAGTAATGGTTAAGAGTTGAATTGGTTGGATTAGAAAACTGGTGTGATGAATCTTGAGAGGAATCTTATCTTACCTTTAACCTGCTGTGCAGTGGAGAACCCAGAGGTATTTTTTCCTCCAATAAGCCCACCAAGAGTGCATGGAATGAAGTGATGCATGCATCTGCACTCTGCAATGAATTAAGGCTTTTTTACTTTATACAAATGTGAAATTATTGTGCAAGTTATGAGTTTGAAATTAATGATATACAGAAAGGCAAGAATCCTCAGGCAGGAAACTATCACCTTAAGAATATTCTGTTTTTAAATGAAGTTGTTAACAGCTAAGTTGACAAATTTTATCATCAGTTGTACCAAAATATAATCTCAATTTCCAAAGATTGGTGAAAAATTTTCACAAACAACATAAAACTGCAAGCCATAATTTGAATTTAACTTTGTATTACCAATGTTAACGTACCTCATTTGCTTCTTGTTTGGTAGTAAACAACAATGGCCAGTCCACGAAAGCTGCAAAAAATAACTTAAGTTATTCAAATTTTAAAGATGCCGCATTTATTTAACAAGGAAATTACCAACTTCCAAGCTCAATGAATTGGCAAGCTGCAGAAATAAATTGGCTTGGCTGCTGCAAACTGCAGCTGCCAAGAACCCTAATCAGCAACCCTGTTTCATTTGGGCAGGACAAGTTTGTTTAACTACACTTCGTTATTCTTGCTAAATAGTGTCCACTGTTGGGTATAAAGGGTAGATATGCACATTAAACAGATATAGAAATCAAACAGATATACAAAACAAGCTAACAGATGTGCATATCATTTCTTACCCACTCCCATCTAAATGAAGCAAGGTATTTTAGTTGGCCTTTAATGAAGGATCCAAGTCTTTAACAGGGGTATGTGGAACATTGTCTGCATAAGTTGCTAGCAAAATCTAACCTTTAACAAGCATTATGCATCATGAGTGGTACTGTAATTGCAGTATTCCATTATTTGGTTTAGCATAACTAAAAATTGATAACGGGTCCTGTATTAATACTATCAATTACATCTTGAGAGGCAAAGTGTCATGGATATCTACATGTGATAAAATACAAGTTTAAATATGTGCATTTCATTTCTTATCAGTGAATTTGAGGAGAGAGAAATTTGAGAGTAAGTATACATACTTTCACTTACCATCACTCACTCCATAACCTGGATTAACAACTTTTAGAATATTGCCCATGCTTTTTGACACAAGTTTTTAATACTTCACAATCTACAATTAGAAAACAAAAAGAATATAAAAATAACCATAATTGCAAAACTGCAGAATAAGCAAAAAAAAATATTAAATAAACCAATCAAATTTTATCAATTAATATATTTATACAAGCACTCTGCTCAAGCTCAGGTCACCTGAGGCAGATGAAGGCTCACTCAGGAAAATGCATGTTTGTATGTTTGAAAATGTACCTATGTTTTGAAACAACTCTCTGTCCCAGACTGGGCTTAAAATTGGATCATTTTTAAAGCCCAGAGTTTAGCTATAAGTTAACAAGCACCAAGAAACTTAGAAAAACATAAGCCATGAAAATTGTGTTAAGAATATTTTTAAAATCTCAGAATTAGAAGTGATATTTGTATTATTTTAAAAATTAGGGACTTTCAGGTTGAATGTTGATTAAGCTAGTTCAATCTGTCTGTGTGGGTCCTAGTGTGGAAAATATCTACGTACTCTACGAACTATGACTGGATATTTTGAGCCATGAGTATCAGATTAACATCCGTGAAAAAATGCTTCTGGAAAGTGAATTTTTTTACAATTCAAAATATAAAGTTTTTCTATTTTATCTCTAACTTTACTATAAAAATAGCAGCAAAATAAATGCTTTGCTCAACTTTAAGAGGCAATTTTGTATATTAGAATGCATTATTTTCACTTCTGTTGAAAGAAGTGCCAAATTTTTTTTGCTGTTAGCTTACTGTCTGACATGACCAAAAGTTCACAATAAAGATTGGAACTTTCCTAATTATTTTCAAAATTTTTGAAGCTTCAAAGTGAAATTTTTATAAAAATCTTGACTTTTTTATATTACTTTTCTGAACAATTAAATAGCAGATAATTATTACAAACAGTAACACTAACAAGAATCATGCAGCTCCAAACAAGTTGGGTAAAGTCCTGCTTTTTTCTGAAATATCGCGGCTCTAATATCATATAATTTCAGTAGGTATAAAATCTTGTGGCTCAAATGTCATGTATTTTTGTTTGATTGTAAAAAATTGCAGTTTGCACTTTGCAAACATGTTTTTTCATAAAATTTTCAACTTCTGCAATTTGCAGTACTTCAATGATCCTGCCAAAATATCCTGAAGATTGCAGAACATAATGATAATGAGTCAACACAAAATGTTTGGTTGAAGATTGCATAGTTGCAGTTACGTCATAGTGGACAGACTGCATTATCATGCATTCAGTTGCTACTAAAGTAAAGACAAATGTTATTGTTGCTGTTTGACTGTTTTTAGGGTATAATTAGAGATTTGGGGTAGCACATGCAGAGGACTTTGTAAATAAGTTCCTGGCTTGTGAATGGCTTTTCATGGCCAAGATATGGAATTCATGGCTTGAAGCAATGGAATCACGGCTGGCAAAGCCATATGACCAGGGCTCAAAAAATCCAGTTGCGGCTCTCCAAGTAGATATATTCCATGACTGGCTCCAAAAATGACAGGAATGCTTTAATCAGGATAGGAATTTTTCTACTCGTTTCTGAAATCTTGCAGTCCAAGGCAACAAATTTTTAATACTTTTTCAAACTTGCTGCCGGTGCCAGATAGTGCAATTTTGTTAACAATTAGGTAGATTATAGATAGGAGGTAATTCATCTGGCAGAAATCTTGCAGTTCCATAAATGGAAGGAAAGCTCTAGTCCAACTAGTCGTGGCCCTAAAGGTAGACGTTTTACTTTTAAATGCTTGTGCTGAGGTGCTCTATCAGCAGACAGCACTCAGCAGCTTATTGAGTAGATAGGCCACTATGCAGAGGGTGGATGCAGCGTCGGCAATATATGGATTTTTAAGCCCAAAGCGACGCCGGCCATTTTAAAGATGCGTCGCCGGGTAATTTTTAATGAAAGGCCATTTACGCTGAGTAATGACGAACTATTTACAAGCCACGAACTTATTACAAGGTTGCATGCACGTGTTAGCCCAAATAACTAATTTTACCCTAAAAACAGTCCGGTTGTACAGCAAGTGTCAACTGAACAAGTAATAAAGCAGTCTGACCGCTCTAATGCGACCGAAACTACGCAATCGAAAAAATGTTGTTTACATTTTTTGCAGGAACTCATTGCAACTGATTTCCGGACAAGCTTCGCTGCATCGTAATCCATCCAACGTACCGGAAAGTGGCGGAAACCTTACTTTTTTTCTAAATAGTTGGCTGAAGACTGAGAAATATATTAAATGCAAGAATTTCAATCTAAATGTGTCAGCAAGATCTTCTGAAGGCAAAAATTTTGCCGATAATGCGTCGCCGTAGGTCTTTAAATCTTCGTTCACTCTCTGCACAGTGGTAGATAGGTACACTGCATACACACTAACACACATAAGCTAACACACAATTTTCTAATTAGTTTTTTTTTACATATATTAAACAATATTTACCATTTGCCCTGGTTACCTCTTACCTGGTAAATAAAAAATCAGGGTACCAATGGACATTTTCATTTTGTTAGCAACATTTTGACTTTCAAAATGATGAAATTGAGTGTATCAATAATTAATCATTCATTATCAAGTTTCAAGATCAACCAAGATCACAAGATGCATTGCATTGAGTCCACTGTGCAGAGAGTGGATGAATATCGCAAGATCTTTGGCGACGCTTCAGTAGCCAAATTTTCGCCTTCAGAAGATCTTGCCGACACATTTAGATTGAAATTCTTGCATTTAATATATTTTTCAGCCTTCGGCCAACTATTTAGAAAAAAAGTAAGGTTTCCGGTGCGTTGGATGGAATACGATGCAGCAAAGCTTGTCTGGAAATCAGTTGCGATGAGTTCCCGCAAAAAATGTAAACAATGTTTTTTTGATTGCGTAGTTTTGGTCACATTAGAGTGGTCAGACTGCTTTATTACATGTTCAGTTGACACTTGCTGTACAATCGGACTGTTTTTAGGGTAAAATTAGTTATTTGGGGTAACACGTGCGTCGTGCATGCAACCTTGTAAGTTGTAACCCAGGTTTCATACAGTGGCAATAGTCGTTGGAATTTCAGCGACTTTTGCTAAAGTTATCGACCAATTTTTTTTACTTTACAACGACTTTCGAGCTAAAATAATAGGTCATTTATCTTTTTCAATTTAAAATGGCCGGCGACGCTTTGGGCTTAAAAATCCATATATTGGCAACGCTGCATCCACCCTCTGCATAGTGGCATTGAGTGATAAAATTTGGATCAACACAACTGACAACTTACACAAGAACAAAATCTTGTGTAGATACTAGTACTACTGTAGATCAAAATGATACTACCTAAATTATTATTCAATTTAGTTACAAACTTAGAAATAATTATCAAATCACAAAAATATGAAGATGAACAAGAATTAAAGCACAAAAAATTACTCAAACTTGAGGAGGAGTCTAAATAAATACTCAAACTTGAGCCTCTTGAGGACACTAAAAAGTCTCTGCTTGTGCTTTGACATAGTATTTATGTCTATGATAGTAAGTTAGTAACATAATTCAATCGTTGTAAATGTAACATAATGATAATGCAATGCTGCAGACATGGAGTCTTAGATTGAGAGGCTCCAATCAGTTCCATCACTGCTCACGCATTAGACGCATGGAAAATATTATATGACATGCAACATTATCTGATCATTCTGATGATGATCACTGAAGACTGAAGTCTGAACGCGGGCGATAGGGTGCTTTCAAAATTTGAAATTGGCTGCTAGCCTGCTTCGGACGTTCAGGCTTCAGCGGTCAGCTTGAGCCAGCTTGTAAATTGAACTTTTACGCTCTGCATGTAGCTGTTGCATAATTAAAAAAATATAGTAGATGTCAAAATTTAATACCAGTCAGCCGTTGTCAAGTACACAATAAATAACTCATCGAATTCGACTTGAAATTATATATTCATTAACAAAGGCACTCTACCCGACTAAAGTACACTAAACCTAGGCGAGGGCTTCACTGAGGTTTTTCTGCATTCTTCATGTTCGGAGATAATTCCATCCACGCAAACTGAACGCGTTCTTGACCGGTATAAGTACCAGTGTCAATAAAAGTTTTATTCTCCATTTGTATATTAAATATACAATTTACATTCGATTCATAAAAAACAAATATTGAAAAACTTTCAGAAAAAATAAATAAAATAATCATCATAATATTTTTAACATTATGTAAACCAGTCTGACATCTTCTTGGCCACCTTTTGACCTAATTTAAACACAATGCATTTTCATTCAACGAAGTTTTAAGAGCAGTAAGCGATTATTTCAATAATAACACAGGTTTTTTATGCCATACACACTAATATGCGTGTCAGCTTGTTCGTTAGTGGTTGTTCAAAGCTGTTTAAAAAAGCAGGCAGCTTTCAAAAGGTTATATCTATGGATTGAACGAGCATGAAATGGATGCGAACGTTGATGTACGCAGCTCACAATTAAACACAGCCTATGTCAAATGGTGCATGATGAGCGTGAAAGAGAATACGACAAGTTTTATCGTTGACGCTCCGAGTATGAACATCTTCAAAAACAGACTAGACAAAGTTATGCAGGAGCATATGTTCAGTCATAAAATGCCTAGCAAATTACGGACCAGGCAATAAGTCCAGCGGCTATCTCAATCAATCGTCAGCCATGAAAAGATCGGGTTCCAAAGGCCGGATCCCTTGTGAATCAAGTCACGGAAAGTTCAAGAATCGGCAACAGGCCATAACATAACATAACATAACATAACATAACATAACGTAACATAACATAATGATGTCGGCGCTGAAATGTAGGCCTGATGTGGCCTGTCGCCGATTTTTGTCCTTTTCGTGCCTTGTTCATAGATCTAAACTATAATCTTCAATCTTTCTTCATAGGACTTGCCCTTCAAGCCTGGAATTATCCTTGTTGCACGTCTTTGAACATTCTCTATTAAATTTCTGTCCTTTTCAAATCCCGGTAACCACACAACGTTTCCAAACTCTAGACTCGGGCGTACGACGGCAACAAACAACTGCTTCATCGTTTCTGCATCTAGGAAC